CGCCTGCCTGGCAAGCGCAAGGTCGTGAGTTCAGTTCCCGGTACCGGAGAAAAACCAAAAAAAAAAAAAAAAAACTCTAGCAAAAATACACAAGAAGGAAGAGGTACTTGTTAGTTGCTGAAGCTAGACCAGTGAGACCTAGAACTAAAGCAGGCAAAGGAGAGCCCTAGGAGCCTTGGACTAGGGTAAAAGGTGGGGAGGGTCCATACCGGCGCACAGTGAGGACAAGCTGAGTCCCTGAGGCATCGATGAGGCTCATGGCACTGGCATGAGAGAGGCTGGTACAAGAAACCCCATTGATTGCCAAGAGCTGGTCCCTCTCTCGGAGTCCTGCTCTGCCAGCCTGGCTCCTTCTTCGGATCTAAGGTGTTGGAGGAGAGATTATAGGTGATGGAGGACTCCAATGGGAACAGAACGAAAAGGAAAGGACAGAAAGCACCCACGTAGGATGAAAGAGTGGAGGCACCTGGGGCTGCAGCTGAGTGGGCCTGTCTAGATCGGCAGGAGTAATACACATATCATGGGTAACCACTGAGTGGAGGAGGCTTGGAGGAAACTGCATGGAGCAGGTACTAGAAATGACAGCAAATCCCCAAGATCTTCCTCTAAGGGCAGTAGCCCTACTGGCCAGTTGTTCTTTGCAAGGCCTTGGAATCCAGGTGCTACTACAAGTTAAGACTTTAGAACAGTATTCCAGATCAAGGCAGTCCAGCCAGACTCTGGGAGACTGATGTGAGTGTGGACCCAGGCATGTGCGCACCATGCATACCGTGTGCCCTATGTGCACACGTGGCGACCACTGATTGAGTTCTTAGTGCTAGGCACTGTGCTACAAGCGTCAGTGAATTCCTTAGAATGGTTCTATGAAGTGGGTACTATTATTACCCACATTTTACAGTTCAGAAAACTAAGTCGGCAGAGTGAAACCAAAAGGGTAATGACTTCATCTGAGAGGCCAGATCTTGCCACGACCCTACGAGCACCTAAAAAAAGTCTTGCCTAGTGAGAAAAAGGATCTGGCCTAGGGAAAGAGGAGCACTGAAGGCATAGGCGTGGGCAGCGCAGGGCAGGGCAGGGCAGGGCAGGGCAGGGCCGAGCCGGCCTGGTGAGACAGCTTCAGCTTGTCACGTATCCCTTTAGTGAGAGAGAAATGAGAACCTTCCCTACATTCCTGGAGTTTGGAGCAGAGGTACACACGCACTGGAGAACAAACTCTCAGGGCCAGATCCCAGACTTTGCTACCACCGCACTGCAGGAACCTGAAGGTCCATTTTTCTCTGCTCCATAGAAGCTGGAATTCCCTTTTCTAACACCCCCCAGGAGAAGCCTGAGGTCAGAGGCCCCTCCCCCTACCAGACTTGAGCATGCATCCTTGCCCACCTGCCCCACTCCCCACCCTCTTCTTCACAGCCCCCAACGGCCCCCTTCCCAATTAGGCCACCACAGGACTCTTCCCAGGTTCCCTGGGGTTCCCCTTTCCCTGAAACTTCATTTCAGGGCCTTCCCCTTACCTTGGACACTTGTAAGGGTTTCCTCTGTTCGGCCCCCCCGTGAAGTCGAAAGCCCCAGGGTGCGCCCCCTGACAGTGTGACCAGGACTTCCTCCTCGGCACCCATCGCTCAGAGTGGCCTATGGCCTTTGGAGTTTGGACAGTGTCCCAGGGAGAGAAGTCGAGGTGCTGGTACCCCGTCTGGCCTGCCTGCCTGTCCGGCTGTCCTACTCCTGACGCCCCAGTACCCCACCCCCCATACACCACTGGCAAGCAACTTGGCCATGGAATAATTACAGTCCAGCACACATGTCCCGTCAATCTGCTCAAAATAGTTGCTGGGTGTACTCAACCTCCCTCCCCCAGCAGTGTTACTCCTAGAGCCAATTATAGCACAAACTCCTGCCCTCCACCCCACCACCACCACCATGGGCCTCTTACTCGGGACTCAACTAATGTGCACCCATTCAGGGCTGTGCCTTGTATGACAGTATCATGGACTAATCTCACCCGCTTTCCCCTAAAGCCCACTTCAAAGTGGCAGCTGTACCAGCAGAGGCGTCAATTCCAGAACTGGCAAGGAATGGCAGGATTTATTCTACAAGCTCCCAGGAAAAGTACCCTTTTGCTGTATGAATTTGTTGCCAAGCCAGGACCTTTTTGCCCACTGCACAGTATGCCAGTCACTGATAAGTGGTTTTGCAAAAGACCAAGTTTATCCATTGAGTCAGCCAAGCATGAATGCCTCTCCAAAGGTAGATCTCAGGGATATTTATGATTTTAAAAAACAGGGTATAGCTGAGCATAGCGGCACACACCTGTAGTCCCAGTTAGCTGGAAGGCTGAGGTAGGAGGATTGCAAATTCAAGGCCATGATGGGTAATTCAGTGAAATCCTGTCTCAAAATAAAAAATAAAAAATAGTTTTTTTATTAAATATAACTTAGTTGTAAAGCGCTTAGGTAGCATGCATAAGGCTTGGGTTCTCCTTCAGGCTTGCCAGTACTGAGGAGGGGAAGCAGAAAGCACAAGGGGAAATAATCAGTGGTCTTCACATGTGTAATCACTATTCAGGGTGCATGTTCAGAAAAATAGTGGCATTAGCATGATCTGAGGGTGCATGTTTGGCCCTCTGACATCAGTCACCTACTGCACACCTGCAGAAGCCCAAATGAAGAGTCAGCGGTTTAAGCAAAGGCAAATGTTAAGTCCCTATAAAGGGAACCTGGTCAACTGTTATCAAGACCCACACTTCAGAGGTGTAATCTGTGGCAAAGCTAGTGGGAGGCTAATAATATATTCCTTGGTCATGTGATTTAATAACTCCATGAGCCCGGCGTGGTAGTGCATGCCTGTAATGCTAGCACTTGGGGGGCTGAGGCAGGAGGATCACCGTGAGTTTGAGGCCAGCCTGGGCTACAATGTGAACTGCATAGTGAGACCCTGTCTCAAAAAGACAAAAACAAAAAAAAAAAACCTCGGTGATATTTGCTGGATGTGGTGGTGCAATCACACCTGCAATCACAACTGCAGTACTTGGAAGGCTGAGAGAGGAAGATAGCAAGCTCCACCCTGGCCAGGAAACTTAGTGAGAAGTTGTTTTAAAATTTAAAGATAGAAATTTCTAGGAAGATGGCAGAGTGATGAACAGCAGAGAAACAGCCTCTCCAAGGTTTAGTGTCCAGACACTGGAATATAGCAGTGTGAGGAAGAGAAGGAGGAGGGAAGTGGGACCTCAGGACCTAGGAAGGATCTGAAGTGATAATTGAAACCCACAGGAAGAGAAAAAAGAGAGATTTCAAAGCAGAAGAAAAAAGTGCAAGCAGCACTTTCTCCCTGAGCTCTAATTCACTGTGTAGGGTGCATTGAACTTGCAGACACATGGTAACCACAGGCAACCTCAGAGGCCTCCACAGAGAAACACACCAGTGGAACAGAGCAGTGGATGCAGCAGACTACAATGCCTAGTGAGTTATTCAGGTTCAGGTGACCCCCAGGAAAGGGCAATTGGCCAATAGCAATCTTGGAAAGGGGCAAACTGAGCTCAGAACTCAGAGCAGTTATGGGCTGGCTCCATCTAGCAGCTCCCAGTGTCAGGGTGAGGCAGAACTGAGTTGAAGCTGGCAGGAGGCACACAGAGTGTTGCAGGCTGAACAAATCAGGTTCCAGGCTCACAGCCAGAAATCAGCCTCAACTTCAGTGGAACTAAAGGTACAGACTTGCTGGGATTATCCACTAGCC